TCTCAGTTGGGGCTTTGGTAGCCATCCTTCAGCAACCCTCTTGGTACCACTCTGGTTAAACCACGTTGAGTTCTACGTTAGACAGATAAAACGTGGATAGGACTCCCATAGGACTCACTGACTATACCATAGTCGATCTACAGTGAGACCAAACATGTAGATAACCTCACTTTAGGAACTTCTGGATTTTACACATACATTTGCAGATAATTAACACTTGTATACATGTAAGTTGCACTTTTTACTATTTAGGCAAATCTTATATAAATCACCTGACACTGAATTACGTCAGTACGTACCCCTTGAATAAAATTCTAGAATTTTACCCTGAGGTTGCCCTAATAATAATTTTTACCTTTCTGGTGTTAAATTTGCCTCTTGGTAGAGTGTAACTGATATTGTGGTCTTAATCTTGCACAAGTGTAAAAAAACAGTTAAAACTGTTTATTTTAAAATCCATATTTTTATATATTATTTACATTCATATTTTTTTTTATAATCAAATATTTACAAATTGGTACAAGCCATAATCTATACACATTTTTAATAACGTCCTGTCTATCCCTATTTATTATTGTAATTATTTTTTAATAAAGAAAGCCAGATACATTATTGTACCTAATTGGTTGTTTTTATTGCTAAGCTCTCCAATTGCACAGGTTTTGTTTAAGACATCATTAAGTAATCTTCCTAGTTAAGTCACAATTAACTTGGTGGCGCCCAGAGATAAGATGTATACAAGGAATCCATAAACCCATGGCCTCCGAACTGATGCTGACTAGCCGTATGCAGTATAATTAGGCAGTTGCCAAATAAGTACGTTATAGTACAAGAAAAATCTCCAGAATCTGCTTTTCAACCTTCAAAGCTTCAGATGACATTACTTTGGAATTTTTCCACCCGTTTTAAACCTAGAATATGTCATTGCCTGAACTCAACATATTTTGGAATTATTATTTTTTGTCAAAATTTTGTATGTTAACCTGGTCCTGTATCTCCGAAACAAATCATAGGATCTTTTTGGGCCTACGAGAACTTACGTTCAGGAGGTCGAGAAGCATAACATATTGCGAAATTTCGTGACAGTCGTGAAATTTTTTCTCATAAGATCCGTGCGTGGTCCTTTCCCAAAAAAACTGCATTCGTGGATTTTCATATTTTTTCAAAAGAACTGGAAATCAACTCATGCAGTTTTTATAAAACATGCTTCAATCCTCATGTATAAAAAATCCCATAATAGGAATGTAATTATCGAAAATTTACAGCAATTATACAATTCACTGTATGTACATTATTCCCATACAAAACCACGAGCCGTCAGGCGAGTGGTTTTGTCAAAAATTTCATGAGCGAAATTACTAAAAAGCAACAAACTTGAATAAAACCAAGAGAATAATTTTGCCTGCATAATTTTTTCTTGAGTGATATTCGGCTGGACTATTTCACGAGAAAAACAAGCCAAATGTTCTTTTAAAAAATTATTTTCTTTAGGTGACACTTGTCAAACTCACTAGTTTTTTACTCTAACCACACAAAATTTTGTCGCTGAAAAACTATCATGTTGGTTTTGCCCAGGTAGGAACAGGTAGGAGTTTTGTCAGTAGGAAAGCGGCCGTTCCTATGACATTTTGCCAGCGTAAAACACTCTAGTGAAATAGTCATATATTATATCACAAGACCTTTAAATTTAATCGATTAAACTATGCAACATATTTTGAGCATGATTTTGCTTGGAAAATTGTTGAATGCACAATAACTTAATAAAAGCCCGAGACCGCGAAGCGGTCGAGGGCTTTTATTTAAAAGTTATTGTGCATGAAACTATTTGCCAAAAAGCAAAATTATGCAAAAAATATTTGGATAGTTTAATCCATTTAAATTTATAGGTCGAGTGGTATACGGCTAGATTATTTCCTGAATAATTAGGATTGAATTGTTGGCGTCAATCCTATCCAAAGAGTTCTATTTATTATAAAATGTCAGAAAATTTCTATCAAAATTCTGTCAAAAAAGGTAAACAAAAATTTAATCGCTGATAAACAAGGTCTTGTGAAATAATCACTTATTTAAACAAAATTCATTCAAAAAATGACGTTGTCTGATGGATCTATTTTATAATGAATGAAATAGTCACAATTATACCTCTTCGCTTCGCGGTTCGGAATAAGTTTCAAAAAATTTCCGGTAATAATTCAATCACTAGGAAGATTAGGAACTAGTGAGAATTGTGTCTTAAAGACGATTTTATTCGTCAAGGGACAAATATTTCCCCTATTCCCCTGTTCGATCTTCTAACAAACGTTTCTTTTTTTGCCAAAAACGTAGTTTGCTCTGACCTAATTTTAGATTTATTGGCCAAAGTTGTCAGCAAAATTCGCCGCAGGCGAAATTTATCGAGTATGAGATAGGCGTTCATGTAAAGTAAAAATGTAGGAGTCGAGAAACCTTGATCATCTTAAAAAAAAAACTTTTTCACAGGCGATAAATAATGTTTAAAAGTTATAAAACGGCTAAATAAAACTTAAATCATTTGAGGAATTAGTTAGACAGCACAGATTATGTCATATTGTGGTGTAGTACTTATGTAAGAAGCCAACAAGGTGGAACGTGTAATGAAAACAATACTATATACAGGGTGTGCCACTAAGGTCGACAAGGTACGATTTTATGGAAACCAGTTATTTTTTCACCAGCTTCCCCCGTCCTTATTAGTGAAGATACGAAAAAAACCTAATAACCAGTTGTTAAAACAGTATCTTAATATAGTGATTTCTTGAGAAAATTTGAATTTTTAGTTACCTATATCATCGTAATTGCGTCCCCAAGCAGTGATCTTAAAAACTTGACAATAATTTCCATCAATTTCTCTTGACCGATTTAGTAGAGAAAAAAAAAATCGCGCAGCCGTAAGGTCTATGGTTTCCATAATATCGTACCTTGCCGACCTTGGTCTGACACCCTGTATATAGCTTCTGTTAAAAATCCTCATTATTACAAAGCAATACTGAGTTATCTGAGGAGGAAGTCTTATAAAAAAAGTATGTCTACTTTCCTCCTTTTTCGATCTTTCCCAACTCTAAAATATAATATGTGAATCCAATCAGTCTCTTTCTACATCCTGTGATTTGATTTGTTAGAGACATAACACTTAACATGCCTATGAAACCTCTGAGGACCAGATGAGAACGATAACCCTTGATCGATCATCCCGAATTGTTTCTACTTAACAGAATAAAATCTTTCCATTTCCGTGTTGTTTTCGCAAAAAACAGCGTGTTTTGTTGGAAAACTTTACTTCATTCAGCCCTGTATAAAAACAGTGACCAGAAATCCCTGAATAGACCTATCTATTTTTACCTGGTATGCGCGCGCAACACGAGGCAATGTCTATTGGCTAGCTAATACAGGTGTGAGGTGATTGTTTTGCACGCTATCCTTGTTCATTGCACGTGATCTGACAAGAATAAATCTAAAATTGATATTCAACTTGACAAGTGTCATTCAAAAGTTGTTTGACATTTTCATTGACAAATACGTTGCACAACACGCGGCTTTTCTCCTTTCCTTTTTATCCTGTGCAAATGAGAAGGACGGATTGCTATACGTAAGTCTAACATAATTTGGTACGTTTTGCCTCGTCTTGCGCAATGAGCGTTCTGTGTCTTTTTTTATTTAATGAAGTTTTCGTATTATTACCTCTTTGTCTGGTAAAATAGATAGGTCTATTCACTATTCTCATAAATTCTTGCTATTCAATGGAAACGAATACTACACGATACGGCGCCTATTTCTTGAAATCACTTTTCACCGTCTTGCATTTTTATCATTAGTTAGATAGCATGGTGCTAAACCGCACTTGCGCACGCAGGGAAATAGATGGGAGTGGGGGATTTCGCTGAAGAAAATGCTTGAGAAAATGTCAACATAAAAGAAGAAAATATTATAATTATGCACCGTCTTGCATGTACTTAATAAAAAGGGGATAAAGGGGTGCAAGACGGAGGTCAACGCGTTATCTCATGAGGGGGTGAAAAATCCTATTACACCACTTCATGCTTATGTTCACTCACTGGAATAATATAGGTATGTCAAGAAATAGTCATTGATCTCTGCAGTACGTTTTTTTTGGGAAAAGTTCTATATGGATGTAGTAAGGCAAGCCCGTATTCAGCAGACTGGACTGAACTGTTGAGTCATTTTTACCGAACCGTTCACTGTTTATTTTTTTTCTAAATCATACAGATGAGAAAGGACAGTTGACATAGCAGCTCAACAGAGAAGTCTGCTGAATACGGGAATTAAACTTTGGGTTTCTGCAAGCTCAGACAGCTACCACGTGATTTTTTGATTTGTTGCTTTTATGATTGGAGGAATCAACTGTTGTCGTTTCAAAAGAAAACTCACTATGCTACCAGTCCATAGTCGCAATATTCCTAACGTTTATTTCCACTTGAACGGTCTTACATTTAATTTGAAATAGCCAGCTCCCAAGTGCGTTTTAGCACTAGGTTATCTAACAAATGCAAGATGGTGTAAAATGGATTTCAAGGAAAAGGCGCCGTCCCGTACTAGAATTCCAGTCCTGCCCAGTGGTGTCGGATTTTCGGCAATGTATTTTTATGGCGCCATTTGAAGTTTTGATTGAAGCAAAAAAAAAACCTTTCTGGGCCAAGTGGCATACAAAAATTTTATAGGTACTTATTCAAAATTTTAACCATAGAGGTTTTGTGTTATCGGGTATACACATGAACTTGATTATTCGGATTTATGCTCGTACTTTATCTATGCAATGCAATAATTTAATGCATATTATTGGACTAATGTAAAACTGTTCAAGATACAGCCTATAGACACAGCGTTTCTATGAGAATGCCTTACTTGAACTTGTATTGCTCCATTACTTTTTACATCAGACTTGCCCCCCGCGTCACGTCCCTACAATATGTTATGTTATTTACTAATAACATTCCTAAAAACTTTTTTTTCTTTATATTTTTCAGTTATGGAACTGTAGTTGGTATAGGTGTTGGTATAACCAGAGACTGTTCAACTTTAATGGTGGCACAATATTTCAAGAAAAAACGAGAATTTGTGGAAGTTTTCGTCATTGCAGGTACTGGCTTAGGCATAGTAGTGATGTCAATTCTCATAAGAAGCACTATAAGGTAAAAAATGTATCAATCAAAATAATGAAACAACATGTATTTTTTTCTTTAGTTTGCTGGGTTGGCGTTTAGGTCTTCAAGTAATTACCGGAACGGTGTCGATAACATTTATTTTAGGAACGTTCTATAGATCGGCCTCTTTGTATCATCCACAGAGACGAGCCATTTTGCATATTAAAAACCAAAAACGAAAAATTCGAGATAAAAATAGACTGGATGATAAAGTACCATTTTTCGATATGAGTGCTTTGAAGAGCATTACAGTGAGAATATTGTTGTTTTCCACAGCAATTACTGCGTTTGGGATCAATACACCCTTGTTTTATCTAGCATATCAAGCTAAAGTAGAGGGTAAGTTCTTAATAATCGGATAGGACTTGGATGTTTAAGTCAAAGGAAATGGGAAATTAAATATCAATCCTGAATTTGAAGCCAATCAAAGGCTTACATTGCGTGACAACCAGAAACATTTTCGGATTTTTTTCTCTTGGTTGGTAGTACCTACCTGGCGTAACTACACTGGAACTTTTTTTGCCATATCACGAACATAATCAATGTCGTAGGGATATTATGGCTGATAATTTATCGACTTCATGGATCCCCATGGGTTTTTTTACATGTTGCCGTTGCCAAGACAGAGCGTTGAATATTTAGGCTGTCAATGTTCAGTTTGTTACATTCAAGTAGCTTGTGAAACCCTTCCCTTACTTAATCTTACTATTTTTTCAAAACCAGTCCATGTATAAATTGACAAATCAGTAAAAATATGGTAGAAATTTCTACCATTAAACCAAAAGAAACTACTTAGCTTTCGGCGACGTTTCGAAACGTTATTTTTCCTTTTTCAAGCCCTGGAACGGGAGAAATAGGGCACATGAGACGACATAGTAAGAAGCATTAAAATTATAGATATACAATCAACGATCTTGTCAAAATAAATTAAAATAAAATTAGACATTGCTCAGGAGTACTTACTCAAACTGATGTCTCCAGAGCCCGTGATGCAGCCAGGAGAAAAGCACAATGCATGATCACCCTTAAGATAGTGACAAATTCTGATTTATATGCCAATAATTGACGATTATTGGATTATTATCATTTCCTATTATTATTTTTCTTTTCCTTTTGTTCTTAATTTAAATTTGACAAGACAAAAGTTGGGTTCTGTTCCTTTATGCTGTTGTTAAAACAAGGTAGCGTTTCACATTGGCTGGCCACTATGGTACTCTAGTTCAGCAGTGTAGGTACTCCATATCAAAAGATTCAAGCGTGCATTCGACACATTTGCTTATATATAAAATACAACCTGACACTCAGAATAAAAATAAAAAATTACAAAAGTTAAAAAAAAAAGTTAAAAAATCACAGATACAAATGTAAAAGACACAAAATATAAAAAAATATAAAAAGATTTAAAAATGTACAAAACAGAAAAAAACATATACGGAAAAAAAAAAAAATCTAAAAAGCAAACAGAAACAACATTTATAATAAATTATTTGTTGAATGGTGTTAAGTACTACTAACAACCCCCAGATAGTTTCAGAGTTACATATCCACACGCATAATTATATTTAGTTCATCTTTCTCTTGTAAATTTGAAGGATATTGCTATATACACCACTCAGACCATCTGTATCGGTCTTTATATTCACTGTGTCATTTAGGTTTATGTGGATCATTCCACTCAGTTTTCGTTTATAGGTTTGTGTTAATAGGAAATGATAATAATCCAATAATCGTCAATTATTGGCATATAAATCAGAATTTGTCACTATCTTAAGGGTGATCATGCATTGTGCTTTTCTCCTGGCTGCATCAGGGGCTCTAGAGACATCAGTTTGAGTAAGTACTCCTGAGCAATGTCTAATTTTATTTTAATTTATTTTGACAAGATCGTTGATTGTATATCTATAATTTTAATGCTTCTTACTATGTCGTCTCATGTGCCCTATTTCTCCCGTTCCAGAGCTTGAAAAAGGAAAAATAAAGTTTCGAAACGTCGCCGAATGCTAAGTAGTTTCTTTTGGTTTACCTCCCCGTCCTTAAACCCAAGAAATTTCTACCATAATTAATAATAGGGGCACGAAATAAATACAGTAAAAATTGTGTTCTTTCAATAAAATCCGACGATTCAGAGCCTAGTTATAAAAGTCATGAATCATAAACATAACGATCGCATAAAAATACCTATAAAAAAAATGAAAAATCCACAAGTTACTTGTCAAAATGTCATGCAATATTTAGTAATACTTACTGTTTTTGGGCACAAATGTCAGGCTCAAATTTGGTATTTTTATTTTATTTTTTACTGCCTTGTCTGGTACTGTACGATGTATTTATAACTCATAAAAATCGCAACATGAATTTAACGAGCCCCAAAAATATTGTGGAATATATCAAATAATGTTAATTGAGTTTTATCAAAAGGTTTTATTTGAATTTTATTGGTTATTATTATCTGGTAATTCTGGTAGAGATATTTACATTTAAGGACAGCTAGATGTTTAAATTAGGGAAATAGACAAATACATATCCTGAACCGGAACAATAATTAAGAACTGTTTATGTTACTTGAAGACTTTTCATTTTTGAATCGAAAGAAAAACTAAACGTAAAGAATTAGGTAGTTACCTACATCAACAGATGCGAAAGTTTACTTTATGGTTTTGGTGTGAGGGGGAGATATTTGAAAACATCGTGTGATACCTACATTAGATTATCTTTCTTTTTTCTTCGTTCCAGGGAATGACTACCCTGTTATGGCTTCACCGTCCGGGGTATCTAGCCAAAACTAGTTGTGGTTGAAGGAGATTTCCATTTCGTCCCGCTCCCTCGCCCGTCCTGTAGTGAATTCCTATATATACCTTGCTTTCAGAATCTTTAGTTTATTTTGTCTTAGGTCCTTCTGCTTATTCTTCTGTCTAAGGTTTGACTCGCTGCCTTCTCAATTATTCTCAGTTTTCTCAAGTTTAACTACGATTTGTTTTCTAGAAGAGGTATTAGTTAACAGATAGCACAACAAAGGATAGACTCTTCTCGCTCCCGGACGACTGGGGAGTTTTATTACACAAAGAAATGTCGTCTCGGATTAAGAGGGATTTTTATGAAATATCAGGATAATTTAATTACTATAGAGAGTTATAATTCTAATTTTTTATTTATTAGGAAGTCCAATATTAGTTAATTTGTTTTGAGTTGGTTATTGAATAGAATTGAGTCAAGTGAGATTGGCGTTTGCATATTATTAGCAACAAAAATATCATATAGGTTAGGTTGTAGGTTACGGCATCCGAATAACGTATGCACTAGAGTGTCCTCCTCCTCACACTCACATGCTGAGAGGTCCTTGATACCCAGCCGGTTGAGGTGTTGATCAGTTAGACTGTGTCCAGTTCTCATCCTGATTATCGTAGTTATGTGTCTTGTATTTATGTATTCCATATTAGTGAACCAAGCATGTTCCTTTGGGAAAGTCTGATAAACCCACTTGTGTTTTCTCCTTTTTTCCTTAGTAATTCCTTCCACATATTATTCCAAATTTCTTCATGATGTTTCTTAATTTTAGGCATATATTCTCTTACATCCAATTGGATATGGGACCCTAAGCTTTCTACCTACATTAGCTAATTGGTCTGCTATCGTGTTGCCTCTGATGTTTGAGTGTCCTGGGATTCAGAGTATGTTCATGTCAAAACCATTTTCATTTGCTTCCATTATTTGTTGTTTAGTCATTGCTATTATGTGATCTAGATTTTTAGAATTTGTACAATCCAATGCATTCACCGCGCTTTGCGAGTCTGTCAAACTTAAGCTCCTTTTTATGTTTCCCTCCAAACACACAGCCACAGTTTTGTGTATTGCTACTGTTTCCGATCTGAGTAAAGTTGGGTAGTCTTGAGAAAAATGCGTAATCTGCCTGTGAGCAGTAAACACCAAACCCTGCTTCATTAGTGCTTTTTTCCACACTTGCATCTGTGCAATACTGATAATAATGGTTAAACTTTTCATCTAATATTTCCGCAAGTTTTCCTCTAATATCTATATCCTGTTTGTGGATGTTGGTTCTACAGGTTGGTATTTTCCCTATTTGGTATTTATATTCGAATTCAAACCTGCGGTGTGTTTCATATTTCTTTATTTTCTCTTCCAGTTCCGCATATTCCTGTACCAGGTATGGGACTTCTCTGTTAGCAAAATAACCCCCATTTCTATCCAGCTCCATAAACTCCTTAATTAAGAATATAATAGGGTTGTTCCTTATTTTCATGTTTTTCAGTAATACTTTTTGGGTTAGCCATTTTCTTCTTACCTCGAGGGATTGCTCACTGGCTTCTGTTTGTAATAAATTTGTTGGTGTTGATTTCATGCAACCCAGAATATCCTCACAGCTGCATATTGGGTTGTATCTAGTTTTTCTTTATTTTTAATTGTTGTGGTGTGATGAATTGGGATCCATAATCCAAATGACATCTTATGATTGCTTTATATATTTATGGAAGAGTGGTAGGATCACCTCCCTACCATTCTCTAGTGAGACTTTTTATCACGTGTATTCCCTTGGTGGCGTTGGTTTTCATTTTATCTGTCTGCTTGGTCCAATTTAGAGTGTCTGTTACAATTACACCTAGGTATTTATATTCGCTAACCCAAGGAATTTCTTCCTCATTGTACTCCACACTCATGGGTGGTAAATTCTTTTTTCTAGGACTCATTCTCATGGCTGTATGGAGATTTTAAAATGTAGTTCACTGAACAATTATGATATATTAGATAATGATTCAGTCATATTTTTTATTACAGCTTCAATATCCTGACTCTCAACTAATATTGTAAAGTCACCTGAGTATTGCAAAATTGTTATGTTCTTTTGCTTCGTTCATGTACATTTTTTGTGTAAACATTTGAAAGAAGAGGTCTCAGAGGTGAACCCTGGGCCAGCCCAGTCGATAGGATTTCTGGCTCTGCCATTTCCCTATTATTATCGTTTATGTAGGTATGCTTCTCTATTATTGAGAAGATTATATATGCAATTGTTTACCTTCATGGATGTATCTAGTTCTTTCAAAGAATTGTATAATTTCTGTGTTTACTTGATCATAAGCAGCTGTTATATCCAGAAAAACCACAAGCGTATCAATTTTTTGATGATTTTTATTTTGAATTCTTACTGTTAGGTATGATAAATAGTCTAGGCATCTCTTGCCTTTCCTGAAACCAATTAGTAATTCCAGCAAATCCTTTTTATTCTCCAATTTCCATTCCAATATGTTTTCTATATTTGTTTCAAGTATTTTCCCAGAGAGGTTAACGCTAAGGGTCTGAAATTTTTTGCAACTGCACTGTCTTTGTTGTCCTTCAACAATGGGAAAATGTAGATTTTCTTCCATTGCATTGGTATCGGTATCTTATTCTCTTTGAGGATATTATTGAATATTTTATGTAGATTTTGTTTTCCTAAAGATGGTAATTATTGGATCATGGAGTATGTTATGTTGTCCAGTCCAGGAACCGCATCTTTTTTCCCTTGCAAAACATTTTCCAGTTCAGCCAGAGTTATTTCTTCTTCCAATTATAAATTTTCATGTCTTCTGTCTATTGTGAAATCTGGGTCTATGTTCACCTGGTTCAAGTTTTCAATTATCTCTATTGCTATTTCCCGCTCTCGAGCTTTATTTCTTGATTTAATTTTAATATTCTTATTGCTGTCCAAATTTTCTGTAATGGTATATTTCTATTTATATTTTCATAATATTCCTTGAAGCTGTTCCTTTCTCTTTTCTTTGAATTTCCTTCTTTTCTGAGCACTGACCCTCTTTCTTGGATAAAATTATCCATTGAATATTCATATTTGAGTTTATTCATACATGTTTTCCTTTCATTTAAAAACTCCTGACATTCTTCATCCCACCATGGGACCGGATCTTTATGCTTTCTTTGTTCAAATTTTTTTGCCCGGTATTGTTTTTCCAGCAACTTCTAGTATATCTTCTTCCAGATCAGAATATGAGTGTGGACTGTTTCCCAGAAATATAACTAACAGTTCATCATGGTATCTTTCCCAATTTCCTTTTTTTGTATTTTTTCTAGGTTTGCTTCTTTGTATTGACTCAATCTCGGTAAGTCTCAAGGAAATTGATATTGGATAATGGTCACTGTTTCCACAGTCTTCTAAACTTTTCCATTCCATTACTGTGGCCATAGAGCTGGATACCAGAGGAATATCTGCAGCTGTCGATCTAGTTGGAGTTCAATAATTTAGTAAAACTAGAGAAGTTTCATTTAGAATATTATTGATGACGTTTCCATTAAAGTTTGCCACTGAATTTCCCCATAGGGGATGTTGGCCGTTGAAATCTCCTAGTATTAATTTTGGTTCAGGTATACTATCAATAAGATCCTTGATCCGATTTCCCAGGTATGGCAGAAGGTTGCGATTTTTGTTGATACAAACCAACACATTAATTTTTCCTCCCAATTTGGCTTAAATCACTTACCTTTCAAATTCTTATAAACTTAAAAAAATAGTATCTTTTTTATTCTAGGTTTGGAAGACTGGGTAGTTTTTGTACAAATATATCTAGGACTAGCTTGTTCACTGGGCTGCATCATTTTCAGTACACTAGTGCTCCATAAGACGTCAGAATGTAGAGTAGCACGACAATATTTGTGCCAATCTGCAGTGTTTATGTGCGGACTATCTGTACTAGCATTTACGGTGGTTAATGATAATTATAATGCCTATGTTATGTTTGCCTGGATCTATGGTAAGTAGTCGTCGACAAAATTGTACCATTCAAAACTCTCTCGCCTGAATAATATTTTCACTTAAGTTGGGGGAAGTAAACGTAATTTCATTTTTTTTTCACACAAGATTAGGGTTGCTCTTTTTAACTTAATCCTCCTCCAAAAAATAAATCCCCATCATAATCATGGTCATCCATCATCTTTAAAGAAGCGAACAAGAACAGAACACGCAAGATTTTCCTTAAAGAACACCCTATTTGAAAAACCGAATAGGAAAATCGAAGGGGGGAACAGAAATGGAGTGTGGCTAACAAATAAGTCCTGAACAGATTTTTTTTTCGTAATCCTATTGTGTTTGGGATACTTTACTCGAGAATTTTACCATTAAATGGCATTCATGGAATAGATTAGGAAGGCATTAGAATAGATTAGGAAAGGGCCTATCCGGCGATGGAATTAAGAAAGTTTTATTCAGAACAGAACGTCCAATGATGTATTCACAGGAAGATAAGATATGTCGTTTGTTCTTGACTTCTTCGAGGGTGTAGCTGAAAATACAAATAAATGACAGGGGAAATTGATCTTATAACAAATTCAATTTATTTTCAGAAATGTTCTTTTGGACAGCTCAGTGAAATTCAATACTCTTAGATTTCTGATGGCTTTCAATTTGAAATGCACATTAGTAATTAGATTCAGATTGACCAGTTGAGTTAGCTCGGGGGTGGAAAATATTTCAGAACTAGTAGGGTAGGGCAATTTGAAAGAATTAGTAAGTTTCTAGGTATAGACAGTTTTTTGGAATTGTATATTGTAGTAAAATTTAGGTAAATGATTTTCAGAATGGAAAATCCGTCGCCACTGTGCACGACCCGGAACTCGTTTCCATTGTATTTAAAATAAACAATTATTCACGGGAAATCGAGAGCTTTTGATTCGAGGTAAAGTGGCTACCTATATAAATGCGTAGTCTTCGAGTAGTCAGTTTAGTTTAAAAAGAAGTTGTTCAACGTTAAGTAGAAGCGATAAGTGATTAGTGGATTTTGTAGTCAATTAGTTCAATGAAAGCTGTTGTTGATAAAGGAAGTTTTAATGGACACGCAGAATTCGGAGTATTAATTTGAGTATAACATAGGAAAGGAGAAAATACAAGATTGGCTATTGGAGAAAAATATTCCCTTCGAACAAAATATGGGGTAGAAAGAACTGCTCCCAATAGCAAAGCCATAGGTATTCTTTGGTACAGGTCCAGATATTCCAATTGTATCTGTATCGTAGATGAAATGGCCAAAAAACGGGGAATAATGTTACACCCTCATTATTGCTAACTGAATTCCATCGAGTTAATTTGGGTACAAACTAAGGGACATGTTAGAAGAAGAAACAAAGTTTAAATTGAAAGATGTTGAAAAATAATTTCAGGAGGCAATTCAAGTAAATGTTGTAAGTGGCGGAAATTCCAAGGCATGTTCTTGGCATAGCGACAAGGATTTGGAAACTGGACAATTTAATTGGGGCAACAGTAATAGTTCTTCATCAGGGGAATAATTTTGGAAAAATAAGCAAGAAAGGATTATATAACAATTATTCTAAATAGGATGTTTCCAACTTTAATTTGTTCATCACTCCTGACCTAAGTTTTGTATCATAAGTTTTGATCCAAGTTTTTTTTTAATGCAGTTTTAATTGAAAATAAAACGAGTTCTTTTTTTTTAATACCTATTGTATTTTCCCGGCGCCCATGGGTATTGGGTATTAGAATTTACAAAAATACGCCTTGAACACCCGAAAACTTATTGTTTGGCGAGATTTTTCGGGTCGATGGCTGAGGGTTTTGGGTGGGTTTTTTGAAAAAGTTTGTAAAAAATGTGTATGTGTATACGAATGAGGCTGATAAAAGTGTTTAATCAAAATTTGGTGGGTTTGATTTATCGTACCCAGTTATTAAAAAATCAACTGTAGGATTATTTTAAATGAAATAGAGAATAAAAAATAAACGTTCTGGGAAATCTTGGGAGTTCCTCTATATTGCCTTATTTTTTAAGGATTCTTTTATGGAGGTTATCACTACTCACTGAAAATGTATACTTACGAACGAGTACGAGCAAGACACTTCTCAAGAACTTGGGGATTTGTTCAGTTTTCCCAAGCCATTCCTTTAGCAATCGGTATACCGTTATCAGGTAATATACATTTTTCTTCACTATAGTCTGTAGTCAAAATTACTAGTAGTGACTAGTTTCTCACATATGGAGCGGCGCGGGTTGTGAGACAACAGGGAAAATTGATTCCAGTCGCAGGTATATTTAATAGATTAATAGAAACTCCAATCAATAGATTTTATTCAATTTGTCGCCTAGTCGTTATTGTGTGCGGCATTATATGAGTCACTGCCAGAAATTTTGATCACAGACTATACGTATATCTAGGACTAACTTTAAACGTTCTCTATTTCAGGTTATTTAAACGACGAATACGGGAGCCGTACAGGCTACTATTTCAGCTCAATTTGCACTTTAGTCGGAAGCGTGGCACTATTTCTAACCGATCTTCATCGACACAGAATATCTCATCACAAGCATACCAGGGAGAATGGTACACGTCATTTGTGTGTTAACGAGGCCTGCCCTCAATCAAGGAAACTTTCGTTTTCTCAGGACCCCGAAAACGACCATGGACTTCCTGCAAACGCTGCCACTGCTTTTATATTAGGTGCGGATGTGGTACAAAACAATTCGGCTGGTTTGACTGAAAATTTGGTAGTTTCTGCTGATAAAGGAGAATTAACATGTATCTCAGAAGAAGGTAATTATTTAGAGCGAGGAAAAATGAGTTCTTTATTGTGTTATGTCAGAATGAGATGTCTGGAAAAAAAGACATAGTTTATGAGGAACGTTTCAACTGCTTCTTCAAGGTAATATTCAAGTTCATTTTGTCAAGGAAGGCTGTACAGGGTGCTTCAATTTGGAGTGTTTTAACAGGAAAAAAATACTTCCAGACCAGATAGGGGAAAATTGACTTAGATGTCATGGGATCGATTTTCGATGGTACCATTGATACATGGCAATTTTCGATTTTCCCCTATCATGAAAAATAGCTAGGTATAAGTTTTTTATTTATAATTTTTTTTTATTTCTGTGAAAACATCTTTGGAATACTTTTTTGAGCACAATCCAGTGGAGTACTCAGTTTTTTAATCTATTTCGCTCCGATTTCGATATATCGATCAAAGTCCGATATTTTTAAATAGAACACCCTATATATTAATAGCTCATTGGATAGCTCTATTTTTGCTGATTTCAATGATATAAAGTTCGATAGGTTTGTCTGTAATAGTTTTCGAGAAAAAAAATTATCTGCTTTTGTCATAAGGAACAATGTGTTAGAAAAGGAGTTTATATCTGTAAGGAAAATGAGGAAGGTTTCTTTCTCACACATTGTTTCTCATGACTGGAACTGATATAATTTTTTTTTCTCGAAAACTGTTAAAGATAAACCTATCGAACTTTATATCATTAAAATCAGCAAAAGCAGAGCAATCCAATAAGCTATTAATATATAGGGTGTCCTATTAAAAAAATCGGACTCGGGTCAATATCTCAAAACGGGAGCGAAATAAAAAAAAAACTGAGTACGCCACTGGATTGTGCTCAAAAAAGTATCTCGAAGATGTTTTCACAGAAATTGATAATTAAGAAACTTATAGCCATTTTTCATAAAAGGGGAAAATCGAAAATCGTCCTGTATCAATGGAACCATTGAAGATACCACGATACGGTTTTTGACAGTCGAAATTTCTCGAAAATCGATCGAATGACATCTAAGTCAATTATCCTCTATCTGATCTGGAAGTATGTTTTTCCTGTTAAAACACTCCAAATTGCAGAACCCTGTACATACACAATCAAAGTTAAGAATTTTGTGCTAAATAAAATAGGTGATATAAAAGTTGGACCCAATTAACTGGCATCAATATTAATTAAAGCGTAATAAAACTCTTTATGTACGCTTCAAATATTATTGATGCCAATAATAAATCATAACAAGAAAGTCTCAAATTACAACGTAATTATCTACTTTTAATCATCATACCGCCCGAAGTCTAAAACATACCGAATTTACATCAGATAGAAAGGTTGCTCAGTTATAGAGGAAGTTGCAATTAATTATGAAGAATTTAGCAACTTAAACCGCATATCGGGTCAAATTCGATTACGAACGGTTAAATTGAAACCTTATATGTTTTCCAGAGATCTTCCAGGTTCTAGTGCACTAAGCTAAGATTGCTGAGCAGCTAGCTCTTAGCTAAGGAAGGAGTGCAATTTAGATTTTTTCACAATCGCTCGATCGTCGGACTCAAAGGGGAGCGTCTTTTTATGCTTCAACACAAAGGGGACATAACTGTTATTCAAAACACAAACTAACCTAAACAAGGGGCCTATTTTTGACCGCAACACAACACATTTCTTCGCAGAGATTTTCTTAGCTTTATTAGGACATGTGATTTTTCTGATTTTGAATAGGTATAGATAGTGGGTTTGTTTTCTCTTTTGAGAAGAAATACAGAAAAAGTCGAAGAACCAGTCACAACAAACAAAAAATATTCCTGAAAACAAACCAAAAATAGATCGAGTTCAAAGAGAAATGAAAAAGATAAGTTAAAAACAAAATTACCAAATAGGACAAGTTGAACTTATTGTTTCTGATTAATGTGGAATAAAACTAGAATGGCGCTTAACGATAGGGAAATTCGGCCTGTGGTTATTTAGCGTTATTCAATCCACCGATATCTCACTAATGTTGAATCCCTTCCGTATTTTTTCATCAACTTCCCTCCAATTTTTAGATTAATCAATGTCAGAAGTTAGTTCTTTAATGATTCATCGGCTAGTAGATGAAGTGAAGCACTTCAACACGAGTACCTACCTAGATAACGAAATTTCAAGACCATATCATCTTAAAATTATGATGTTAGTCAGTAAATGTTATCTCTATATCTCTACTTATTTATTCATAGAACTTATTGTCATAAGTTCTAGAAATTGATGTTCCACACTGCCATGACAAATTTTAAAAAAAGCCACCAAACAAGCTTAAGGAGAGGTATTTTTAGGAATACAATTCTAGTCCAGGAAATCGGTATCAGGAAAGGGTGTTTTGAAGAAAAAATCCCGGGCTTAGGTTTTATGACTGAACTTTTTAAATGCGCGTATTAAACCTCTGAATATCTATGGTGCGCCCCACCCTACACTTGTTCATACTTCCCATCCTAGCGCATAGCCAAGGTTGTTTGGGAGAGGTAGGTTGCCTGATAACTTTTATGACGTCATCTGGGGTGCCTCAAAATAATGAAATTTTTCATAAGGCACCTCAGATGACCTTATCAAGTTACCCATTACCAGATAACCTTTAAACTTTAGGAACCTTGGCGTATAGCAGAGTTATGTAACATAACCATACTTATGTTATACCTTCAGTATTCATTGCGTCGGCGCGGCGTGCTGTCAATCCTGCTGGAAATTTTTTGGTGCGTGTTTCATGTTACATGTTAGTATCGTGGTCTTATAAATGGGTGAAAAATGTCTGATCGCGAGTGTTTTTAGTGTGATAAGACTTATTTGAAGGATGGTTCTGAAACGAGTGTTGTGAAGGAAAAGCAGTTGGCATCATTTGTTTTGGTCAGTGTAGAAAAAGAGAGGATGGAAAGGCTGAAATTTTCAAGAGAAGGATTTCCCTAGAAGTTCATGAAAAATGTCGCCAACATTATGCGACTGATCGAAGCATAGAAGCACATTTGAAGAGAGTCCAACTACAAGGAGGTAGCGTCGCAACCCTCTCGGATATGGAAGCATTACTATATTAGTTAAGAAGGTATACCACTTGAATACCTTAAATCCATCGCAAACGGCTGGCAGACTTTGTAGTGATGCTGATCATGTAATGACATCAATGTACACATTTCTTGAAAACGATGATGAAGAGCGTCAATTTTTCATGGACGAGCTCATCAGCAAAGTTGAAAGCGATACCATACCACATCCCAAGACCAGAAGATTTCGACTGATTGAAAAATATGGAAATCACATATTTGTATCATCAAGTACCCCCTAGCTTGTTTGCTTCAAAAACACCGGCCACAAGATCCTTACATATGCATGGTACCGGCAAAAGAGAGGATCTTAAGAAGAAAGTCTTCGGATTGTGGAAGCAGCAGCTGCTATAATCGCAGAAGATATACGTGGGAAAGTTCATAACACCACTCGGTATCCTTCTCCACCTGATAGATTGGAAGGATCAAAAAACCTAATTCCAGAGACTCTCAGAGTGTTTACTGAGGCTGTTATTCTACACAAAAAACGGAGTGGTTTTGAGAGGTGATCCAGGAAAGCGACAGCAATTGCACATTGTCTAACGGCTGCAGTTAGGCCACATTAGTTTTTGTCTTCGCTACAGGTGAGTTTGGCTGTATTTTGCGCTCGCGGATTTTGATCGATATGCTGTCAACATTGAGCTTCTGTGCATCGTACAATAAAGCAAAGAAACTCGAAATATCAGCCATAATGCAGCCTTCGATGGTGCTAAACAAGCAAGCCCTTTCTCAGATAGTATTCGACAATGCAGACTTTAACGTACAAACGTTAGATGGACAAAACACGTTTCATTCAATAGGAGGGATCGTGTATGTATGACGCCTAAATCAGCAGTGGCTCGCAGTCAGGAGATTGCATTACACGAATTCCTGAAGCAGAAGAAGTTGCAAGGGTAGGCGCAGTCAGCTTACAACATTTTGAACGTTTTAACGATGTAGGATTAACAACAGTCACTATTAAAAACTTACTGAAATGTATTCCCATGTCACATGATCCAAGTCAATTATTCCTACAACGCCTCATTTGTTTTGGCTCTTCTGTAAATGTAAGGAGCTTCCTGTGGTTCGAGGATGGAATGGATTTATGCAAGAGGTTACAAATTCTCTCCCATACGAAACAAAACGCGTTTCCCGTCTACCATTTATTGATGCCGCTACCAGCGATTATGACACCATACTGCATTGTTGAATGCTGTTGTGTGTTGAGAAATCCAGGACATTTGGGCAGCAAAGCGTGTTCATTACATTTGATCAGCCACTGTATTTGAAAGCCAGAGAGATTGTGGCAAAGTCGAGCTGGTGATCCGTTGTGGTTCGTCGTGAAGGATTTAACCTATTGATGTCTTTCCTGGGGGCAATCGGGTACATTATGGATGGCAGTGGCCTCGCAGAGCTTTTCAATGTGGTGTTTGCTGTTACCATAATCACTAAAATAATGACTGGTTAGAGCAGTTCATGCTCATATTATGGCACGCACTGTCCTGTCTCTGCTCATAATGGAGGATATCACCTTTTCATTCGAAACTAGAGAAGAATTAATGCGGCTACTGTATGGAAGCAACCTTGCGCAACTCCTGAACACCAATCTGGAATGTACAAAACAAGTAGCACAAAAATTCGAGGATGAGATAAACCGTTTGGGTAGTCTTGGGCCAACGGCCAAATTGTGGACTCAGTACCTGAAAATGGTGACACTTATGATAAGGTTCATTCAGTCGGAAAGATTGGGAGACTGGCATCTACACCTAGAAACAATCTGCAACATGAACCCGTGCTCTCACGCGAGTTGCCATTTCTTGTATGCCAAATGTGCACACTTATATCTGCAAGATATGCAAGGGCTGCAGAAAATGATGCCACCAGATGAATTTGCATCTTTCAGGTCGAAAGATGGCTTCACTATCGGAGGATGAGACCATTTGTGGTACGGCACGTGGAGTGACATGACAATCGAACAGTTTCTGATGACGTAGATGACGACAGATGGAGGACTGACTCGAGGCCGAGGAGTTAGCGATGCCATATCATCCAGGTGGACAAATGGCCTTATTTGGGTCAGGTACCTTATATTAAGTGTTTGTATTTTCCCTATAATTTTCTCCTTCACTTACCAAAACTACCGGCGGTTGTGACAGCATTGGTTTCTTGTTCTTAATATTTATTCAGCACACCTAAAAACATGAGCTAGATACTGCCCCGAACAATATTTAATAAAATTTAGTTTATATTAAATAAATAAGAAAAAAAAAACATGCAATTTTAATAAATTGTCAAATTTCGGCTAGAGGCGACCACGGCGGCAAAGTTGAAATTCGGATTCAGCACGCCTGGAAGCATAGAGATCAGTCATAAAACCTAAGCTCGGGATTTTTTCTTGCCTAAACTACCAATTTCCTGGACTATTCCTGAGGGTTTGACAATGGGTCGAATGTAATTTATGATTCCCAGTGAGACCCACTGATTTATCAAAATAATTAGTATGATTATGAAGGGTGGTCTATTATAGATTGTCCCCCCACCATGAAATTCACGATGTTCATTTGTTGGCTCGATCGATGCAAGATTTTAAATCTTATCTTATCTGGCCTTACTTCCAAACTCCACTCAGTTGGCCAGCTCTTTCAGGAAGTTCAAGTCTAATGCGAAGGAGTGCAAACGAAACCGTCTTGATTTAACCGGTGGGGGTAAACGAAAAACCGCAGGTCTATTTTCTCGAACCACACGAACGGACGGAGTGTTTTTGGCGACTGACTTTACTCGTCGGCAGTGTGAGGTCTTTGCACATATCCTTTTTCAGTGTTTAACGCGCGCATTTTTAAAAGCCAAATTTAGCAAAGCCGTATCAATTCTTAGGCATATAGCATATAGCACGCGCAATTCAATTAGAATAAGAAAAAAAAAAAAAAAAAGAAAAAAAAAAACGAATCAATTTCCATTCCCAAATAGGATTTGACATCCTAAATACCCAATTTAACCTACAATTAATTATATACAGGGCGCGTAGACGAAACTGAACAGTTACTGGTGCTCAATTTTCATTCCGCCTTTTTTTTTTCATTGAAAACTTTAACTCATTAATTTATCTAATTAATTTGTGTTGTATTTTCTATTAAATTTAAATAGGAATTGCCGATATGGACTTGCCTGATGATTTATTAGATGATCTGGATTATATAGGAGATTGTATTACATCGTGCAATAAGGTAGAGAACTATTTGATGCTCAGTGAATTTGAAAATAACCTATTTGCGGAAATGCCTTCGATACTTGACAGAAGAGGCAGAAGGTGATACAATTTGAATAATCGTTGAAATAGCATTTTATATGTTTATTTAACCTTCGCAGGTGGTCTTTGGCTGGGTTCCTCCAGAATAGAGAACAAGAACAACAAGAAAATGAACGAAACAAAGAAGCAGGAGACCAAAATAGTGGCCCGAAACCAAGTAGATGGAATATGTTTTCTAGTAATAAAGTTATTACTGTTGTTGACGAGTCTTCTGTTTAAAAATAAGATGTCTATTTTCTTCCAAGAAAAAAACTGTAGTAATTAATTTGGCAGAAATAAACTAATGAACATGTGCCAAAATATTGTGCTCCTGCTTATTAGGCTTTGTTGTTTTTATCATTGATTTTAAATACAATAAGTAAATCTTTGAATTTAAAATTAAAATTCTTAGATATTATTAGATAGTATTCTCCTTAATTATTAAGCTTTTAAAACGTAAACGCATTATGATTATACTTTGCTGTTCCTATTTAATAATATTTTATTTTACGTAAGACTGATATAATTAAGTAGACATTTTATATGTTTAGATTTTAAGGTATAAAGTCTTAGAAAATTAATATACAGGGTGATTAACGTAGACCGTGCATTAGCTATGGCAGGTGGATTAGATGTTATCTCTACTAATTCTCCTGCAAACTGGAAAACTTCTAATGCACGAGCTATGTATCAGGGTGAGTCGAAAGCAAAATAATCGGTTACAGTTTCAGAAAGACGTGTTCGAAATCACTAAACCGTCGTATATCAAAAATGGTCCTATTTCAGGATAAAGTTTCTACACATTCTGGATCCAGAAGCGTTCTACAAGAAAACTTAAATAGATAATTGGATAATACGAAATACGGGTACAATGCCTTGAAATTTTTCCCAAAATCAAAACCACGATCGGAGTCGTGAAGTTTCAACGACCACACTAAAGTCAAATTCTATTTAAATGACAATAGAATTGAATGGGAGACTTATAATTACATATTATTTGGCCTGTTTATTTTGCACCTGAATGAACTAACAGAAAATTAACGGAGGATTTTATTTTTAACCTCATTTTCTAGTCTATTGTAATCTACCTAGGTATGTTCTTTTAAAAACCTGTTCAAGGGGTGAAACATAGTTTAGATTTAAAGCAAAAATATAATTATTAATCAAATACTGTATGAGATATTTTTGAAGGTTTACCTTACGCCAATGTATACAAAAAATTAAAAATAAGAAATTAAGTAGGTAGGTATATGTATTAAGAACCAATGAGTATCGTAAAAATAAATGAGAAAAATATTTATAAATCGATGTAATGACAATACTAAAAAATGGTTCCAGCATGAAATCTTTATACAAACAACTTATCAATCATTGAAAAAATCACAGAAAACTGCCAACTATAAGACTAAACAACTGAAGATTTCCATAATTCTTACCTCAACTTACTCTTAACTGTTCTCATTATGCTGGACTCTTGAAGTTGTTAAAAATATTCCTCAGGGTTAAAAATATGCTCTAATTCATTCTATACCTAGAAATATTCCCCCTTCCCATTTCCCCCTAACATAATGTTGAATGGATTCAATAGATACATATTATATTAGTGTTAAGAAAGTCCTATTGTAACACTCAAATTGGCTAATATATAAATATTATTTATGAAAATATTCTCGAGTTTCATTTTCCCTTCGAAAAGTTACTTTTCATAAATCAAACATAATAAAGTTCTGGTTTAGAGTTGTTTAATTCTAAAGTAATTAAAAGTACAAAAGATGACTTTCTACAGTGCAGAAGAAATGTAAGGTTTGACTGTGCTGGAGGCGATTTCTGATATGCGCATATCTATCGGTCTTCTATCGTCGTATAATGTAGGAGCCTGCAAAATAATTCCAGCTGTGCCAACCAAAACCGCTAGAGTAAAAATCCAAAGAAATAGTCTGTCTAGTACCATTGCTACGTATTTCCAATCTTCTTTCACCTGGAATAAGAGAAGATAGGCTGATTATTTAGAACTAATAAGTTATTAGTTATTCACATTGAAGCACAAAATCATAGAACACAGCAATAACGTATTTGGAGTAAAATAGATATTCAGGCCTATGATGTATCAGTTTCTGTTATTTTAACAGCAACGTTAAGTTATCTGTCACTGTTTATTCTACACGTGAAAATAAAGACAGGTATAGATTTTGAGCTATAACACAACTGTTAAAATAACAGAAACTGATACATCATAGGCCTGATTATCTATTCATAATCTGTAGTCCAAAGGTACAGGTAAAATTTATCACCTTTGAATGCTATTTGACAGGGAAAGGTGATAAATTTACCTGTACCTTTGGACTACAGATTGTGAATAGGATATACCTACCTACTGTTAGAAGTAGATGATAAAATAATAAGCAAACCGCTTTTATTTTTACCCAGCATCCCTTTGTATTTGTATGGTGGATAATTATTATATGATAGTTGCTGCTGCCTGCGTTTTGTGAGAATTTATTACTTGTTTGTACAAGTTCGAAGACCATTTTTGGGTTGACTCACACTTCTTTGAAAGGAACCCTTTGTTCCATTGAAGGGTAAAAAGATAAACGCAAGTAGCAGGTAGTCTTTTGACCGTCTTGTTGAAAGACACTTGTAATTTTTAGTATTTTTTTGAAATATATTTTTGTCCGAGAAATCGTCGTTTAATTTAGTTGAAGTTAACAAATCAGAAGTGAGATTCACTTACGCGCCGTGGTCGCGTCGTGTTGTTTTTTTTTTGTGTGTTTTGTGTTAAGTACTATTGAGACTTAATTTGCAAAATGTCGCCACATAATAAAAAACGTAGACGTAGAAACAATGACACTTCTAGTGAAAGTGATAGTTCTACAAGTGAAAGTGGCAGTTCATCGTCCAGCTCTAGCTCTGGGCATCACAGTAAAACTAGTAGACGCCGACGTAAGAAAAAAAAAAGACTAAAACGGAAAGTTAGAGTTTAAAAAAAAAAAGCTGTCAAAGTCTGAATTAAAGCCATCCAGATTTGAAGGTAAGATTGAGAGCGTGCCAATTTTTCGTGGTGGAAATGAGAGTATTTCAGTACATCAGTGGTTACATACAATTGAATCCACAAGTGACATTTACGATTGGGACGATAAAGCAAAAATTTTTTGTATGGCTAATCGTAGGCGTAGTGCAAGAAATATTGGAAATATATGATACAAAAACCTTGTCTGATTTTTATATTGTACCAAATACTTTACAGGATGTTGACATTATAGTAGGAAGCCCTGTTACCGATAAAGAAGGAGTACTAGTTATCAAATCATCACAATTTTTAAAGCTTACTGAAAACGAAAGTATTTTGAACAATTTCCCTACAGATATTTTTGAAAATGACGATAAACTTAAACTTAACGTGTGTGAAGAAACGATTATTCATCCTGGAATAAATCTTTTACGCATTCAAGCAAGTACACTGGAAGACTATTTAGAATGTAACCAGTCGGAACACTTACGTAATGGTTCAACTATAATTATTCCAAAACATAGAATCAAAATAGAAAACTCCAAAGGATTTTTAAAAATATTGAATACAAGTGCAAAAGAAATCGTCATAAAAGCTAATACATGTATGGCAATAACTAGTACATTTCTCCAAGAAAACACAACGCCAAATGTGGAAGAACATCTAAAACCACAACTGGAAGCTGTTATTTCGAAATATCCAAATTGTTTTGATGAAAGTAACGCGCTATTAAGCAACATCGACACTCAAATGACTATAGAACTAACATCAACCATTCCTGTAACCAGCAAACCCTATCGATTATCTTACTTTGAAAAGGAAAGAGTACGAGATATTGTTAAAGACCTTCTGGACAAATCAATTATTGAACCTGCTAACTCCCCATATTCAAGTCCGATATTGTTATTGAAAAAGAAAACAGGAGACTTTCGCCTAGTGATGGATTTTAGACGTCTAAACGCTATCACAGTAAAAGATAAATTTCCACTTCCACTAATAGAAGATCAAATAGAACGAATAGGTGAAAACTGTATATTCACAACATTGGACCTAAAATCTGGTTACCATCAAATAAGTATGGCGCCAGGTAGTAGAAAATATACTGCGTTTGTTACACCAGACGGCCATTACCAATATACTAGGGTTGCCTTTGGTTTGTGTAACGCCCCTGCCGTATTTCAAAGGGCAATAACTACAGTCTTGGGTGACTTGAGAAATCAGTACGCCCTAGTATACCTGGATGATACATTAATCACTTCAAGCTAAATAGAAGAAGGTTTACAACGTTTGGAAAATGTGTTAAAAGCTTTGGATCAAGCAGGATTAACATTGAATCTAAATAAATGCGAATTTCTTAAAAGTTCTGTTGAATATTTAGGAGTTGAAATTTGCAATGGTGAGCTAAAACCCTCTTCCAAAAAAATGGAAGCAGTCGAGAAATTCCCAACTCCCTCTACTGTTCACCAAATTAGACAATTTATTGGCCTAGCATCATATTTTAGAAAGTATATCCAAGATTTTGCACTTAAGGCACGTCCTTTGACGTTATTGTTGAAGAAAAACTCTATTTGGATTTGGTCAGAGCCACAAAAGCAAGCATTTCAACAATTGAAACATGAACTAATGTCCTCTCCAACCCTAGCAGTTTATAATGGAAACTCAGAAGTTCAATTACACACAGACGCGAGTAAAAGAGGAATTGGGGCAGCGCTGTTACAAAAACAAGAAAATAAACAATGGAAACCTGTAGCTTATATGAGTAGGCAGACAACTGACCCTGAGACTCGTTATCATAGTTTTGAATTGGAAACGTTAGCAGTCTTCGAAGCGGTGAAAAGATTTCGTAGCTACCTCTATGGAAGACGCTTTACTATTGTGACAGATTGTAATGCAATGCGACTAACGTGGGCTAAGAAAGAAATAACGCCAAGAGTTGGACGCTGGCGGCTTGCTTTACAAGAATATGATTTGACAATTGAACATCGTCCTGGCACACAGATGAAGCATGTTGATGCATTAAGCCGTAATCCAATTACTGTGAATATGATAAGGGCGTCCGATTGGGTGAGTGCAGTGCAAGCGCAAGACGAGGATGTTCAGTTGTTGAAATCCCAAATTCTAAATAATGAAAATTAACCTGATTACTGCATTTCGGAGGATAAGGTGTGCAAACTAGTGAATGGCTTCCCTAGAATTTTGATACCAAGAGATCTTAGATGAAGAGTAGTTAAAATGTTTCATGACGATAATGGACATCCAGGATGGCAAAGGACTTTTGATTCTATTGAAGCAACCTATTGGTTTAATGACATGAAAAGTTTTATAAAGAAGTTTGGCAACAACTGCATAGCGTGCATGACAAGTAAAAAACCAACTGGAAGAAAAAAAATTGAATTACATCCAATCGAAAAAATTGCTGAACCCTTCCACACTTTACATGTCGACCACTTAGGTCCTTTTTGTAAATCTCCGACAGGCAACACATACAAAATTCGTTTGGATCGAAGCTGTTCCTAATGCATGTAGCGCTCCTGTATGCAAAAGTTTAGATCAGTTAATAAAATTGGTTCACGCACCCAAAAGAATTATTACTGATAGGGGAAAAGCATTTAATTGCAAAATGTTTACCGAGTTTTGTAAACAAAACAGCATTAAGCATGTGAAATACGCCATTGCTTCACCACGCAGTAACGGTCAAGTTGAACGCTTGAACAGGACAATTTTGGAGGCGCTGTCAGCCAGTATTAATGATAAACACGATGGATGGGATAAATACTTAGTTCAGGTACAGAAGGGTATTAAATTCAACAACAGGAATATCCCCCAGTGAATTACTGTATGGTATTAGACCAGAAGTTGAAAACGAAATTCGACTTGGCACAACAGAAAAATTCGATTTGGCGAATGCAAGACAGAAAACGAAGAAAAGATGTGACAATTTGGCAGAAAGGATGAGACAAAGGTTCAATAAGAACAAAAGTCGTCCAATTTTATATGATGTGGGAGACCTAGTGATGGTTGAGTCTACGTTATTAGTTCCTGGACTTAGTAGTGGTAAATTAGTGCCCAAATATATTGGTCCAGTTAAAATAACTGAAGTTTTGGGTAGAGATCAATATAAAGTGATCTCGTTATCGAAAGATAAACGTCGTTTCAGAGGAGTAGTTGCTAGTGAGCGACTAAAATTGTTTAAAGCACAAAAAGTTGATTAACTCTAATAATTTGCGTCATTTGTGAATTAGGAGATTTTGTAAAAAAAAAAAAAATTGTTTTGTGAAATTACTGCTTCAGTACGGTAAATAAATGTTTTACCGTAATGGTTAAATTGGAACCGTAATGTATTTACTAAGTTGTAATCTTAAATGTTGAGTAAAGTATTCTTAGGTGATATTGAATATCACATGTTTTGTATTGTTACAGAGTCTTTGTTACTCTCATGTAAAAATGTCACACTGATTTTGTGTTTTACTTACTCTGTTCAGAAAACACCTGTGTTCTCAGTATTTTTAATTGTTCTTTGTAGTAAACAAATGTTTTGTTACAAAATTTAGTAGAGTCCTGTGCACTCTGATGTAACCCTGTGTGTTACAAGAATTTATGTTTGTAGTAAACAAATGTTTCCCCACAAAATTTAAGTAGAGTCCTGTGTACTCTGATGTAACCCTGTGTGTTACAAGAATTGATATTTGTAGTAAACAAATGTTTTGCCAAAAAATTTAAGTAGAGTCCTGTTTACTCTGATGTAGCCCTGTGTGTTACAAGTAAAATTGATCCTGTGTATCAAATGACTTGTTTTAGGAGATGCTATTCACAAAGGCAAACTTGTGAATGGCTATAATTGCATGGCAAGAAATACATGCGAGGCCGCCTTTCCGTCAGAAGAGCCGAATGTTAGAAGTAGATGATAAAATAATAAGCAAACCGCTTTTATTTTTACCCAGCATCCCTTTGTATTTGTATGGTGGATAATTATTATATGATAGTTGCTGCTGCCTGCGTTTTGTGAGAATTTATTACTTGTTTGTACAAGTTTGAAGACCATTTTTGGGTTGACTCACACTTCTTTGAAAGGAACCCTTTGTTCCGTTGAAGGGTAAAAAGATAAACGCAAGTAGCAGATAGTCTTTTGACCGTCTTGTTGAAAGACACTTGTAATTTTTGTATTTTTTTGAAATATATTTTTATCCGAGAAATCGTCGTTTAATTTAGTTGAAGTTAACAACTACATAGACAAAATATTCAAGCTATGGTTATTTAAAGAATGATATTTCATAAAAATAATCCAAGGGCTGCCAAAGATTAAAAATAAATAAAATAGTTGAAATAGTTATTAGGTATTTTTATACTAAGGCCGCGAAATGCTGTAATGACCCGGGAAAAATAGCAGTAAAATTAAATGTATTCAAATACATGAATTAAATCTCCAATATTCAATATTAGAAGAAAAGTTCTAATTTTCTTAATTTAGCATTGACACCATAG